TCTGGATGCCGCAGTGGGAGCCCGTGCATCACCATTATCGCATTCTCTATCTGATTCATTTGAATCGGGCCCCGTTCTAGGAAGGGCGTGGTGGTAGGATGATCCCTCCCCGCCGGCTGAAATCTCGTTCGACGGGTGTGTGGGAGTTGATTGATTCTCCGTTCACAGGGCACCTCAGACAGCGGTTCTCTGCGTACCTCGCCATTAGAGCACGAGGTTCTTCCTTAGGCCCCTCCATAAGCGCCAGTGCCTTTCGGGCGGCTACGAATGATGCACTTCAGGTGCTGCGACGTCGTGGTGCCCCGGACATTAGAGGTTCATGCTGCATCTGACACTACTCGAGGTTTTGTACTCTCAGTTCCGCTTGCCTGCTATTTATGACACGCGAGCTCAGTCTGGTAGCTGCGAACATGATCAGTTATCTCAGACCCTCGCTATACTGAGTGTGCTGAACAACAATTTGGTCCTTTATCCAACGCTTGTCACACCGCAGCAGGGCGCTATGATGAGTATTCTGGAGCAGAATATCCCACTCGGACGACTCTGAATGCTTCTGGCAATCGTACATGATAGGCTCTGCACAAAGAGCGGGCTGTCAGGCTGCTTCCTTGAGGTAGCGAGCGGGAATCCCTCGTGCGAGCCCCCTAATTACGACCTTCACTTCTGGAAGTTGTATACGCGCATTGACAAGCCTGAATAGTTGACACAACTTCTTATGTCCTTTCTTCCAGTGCCTGCGTCGTGAATGGTTAGTGAGGTTTGTTAAACCTGAGTCGATATGCACAGCTCACCTCTTCTGACACTCTTGCCCACAGTAGATTGAGCGTTTGCAGACTGTACATTGCCGACGTTCTTCCCGATTAAGTTCAGCGCCGCACTGGATGCAAAGTCCCTGAAGACATGGCCAAATCCAAATGGCCGGCCGTAGTGCGTGTAGCTGCTCTGGTGCTAAGCTTTCGAGGAAGTCTGAGGACACAGGCTGATCGGCTAGAAGTCTCTTGACGTATAGCAACTGCGCCTGCATGCCCTCCGCCGGTCGCGATATCTGCTCTGCTATGTCAAGCAACGATATAGGCTGAATGGTCTTCGGATCGCGCTGTGGAAGCGCAAGCTCGTCGTAAAGTAGGCTGAGGTAAGCAAACGAATTGATGTCGCGGATTTGGCGGTAGAACACCCCGGCATGTTGACCGGTCACCCTGGGCATCTGTTAGCGCATGTCCCTCACTGGCAATTGAGAGGCTCACAAGCAATGTGTGAAAATATGATATAGTTGAGTTTTCAGAAATGGCCAGACGCCGACGCGTGCAGCCAACGGCACGCCTTCCATCTTTGCGAAGACAGTACGTGCAAGGTAACCGACGGGCCTAAGGTAGCTGGCGAAATGGTGTGCCCGCTCCGGGTAGCGCTCAAGCCGACCTCGTAACCCAATCACATCGAAGACCCTGGAGTTGTACAGCCCATATATAACGTTCAGAGTCTTCAACCAGAGATTGGTGTGCTAATGGACGTTGAGTCTCGCATAGACCGGAGCATAGTTGGTTCACCTTGTCTTCCTTTTGTGTAAGCTCTACCAGAAGCCAGACGATGCTATCGATCTTGACATGCAGCATTTCGCGGGGTGGGAAGGGTTGTTGGCCAATCGAAGGAGCCAAGGTTCCCGAATCGGCCATAGTTCGCAGTGGAGCAAGTATTAGTTCGAACTCTTCATTGGTTGAGCGCTGAAGCTCTTCAATAACGCGTATCGCGTAAGGTAGAGAAGGATCCCAGTTGCGCGTTGCCATGATGTGTCGAGAGCTCTTTGCGTGTCGAGCGGGGCATGGACCAGCTCCAATTCCAGCGCCCTTTAATGTATCAAGTGCAACGTAACGTGGCCAGACAATGCCCGCCCGTCGAAAGGGGATAGAAGAAGAGCAAATATCCGGCACCCCTATGCGGGGTGAATATCTCCGCAGCGTCCGATCGAGGGTTAGGCTCAACGGGTCTACAGCGTCAGCTCCCAAGTTCCATCAACAGGACCAGATGTGTACGGGCAACGCTCTGAGACTGGATCACATATCCGAGACTGCGTAAGATGAGATGTCAGACATTAATACCGGCGAGGAACAACCGGACCTGCCTCATACGAGCAAAGAATCGCAAGCGTTGAGAATCGTGGCGGCCTTCGTACTGCGATATGCTCACGATAGGTATGTGTTTCTGGCTGACTCCGGTACTTTGATGTGATTCATGACCGGTTACACGGCTGTAGCAGTGGAAAATAAGTGGGAGGTTGCCTATTCTTTCCGATGCGCACAGAACCCTTGAATTTGAGACGCCGATAATCCATCAATCTCATGGCTTGAGAGCAAGCGTACACCCGTTCCATACGTGCACCCGCTGTGAGCAGGGTATATCCTTCGGTATTGGTAGCGGTCGAAGGCTTCGTACGAGCCGACGTTGCTCAGAAGAGCACTTGAAGGCGGCAAGCGCGCATGACGTATTCTGACGAAGAACCGACCATACGTGGTCGAAAGCGCAGGATCAAGGACACTTGGTTCTCATGGGCAGGCCAGCGCTCATAGATTTTCAGTACAGCATACTGCAACGATTGGGGTCCATGGTCGCGGTCAGGAGCCAAGAAGCGTCGCCGGTTCCATATCGTCAGGCGGAAGTTCATGAAACCATCACGTGCATTCCCGAATCGGGTGTCCACGTTCGGACGTTCGGCCTATTGGGCGCTGCTGCCTGGATAGAGACTACCACGATCATTGCATGAGCGCTACGCGAGCGTGCACGACTTGGGAACTATGTTTCAAATCGGTTGGCAAACGTAACCGCACGCAATCAGGCTATAGACACAGTGTCTCAACACTTGAGCGGTGTCTGCTAGCCACTGTGAAGGGTCCAGGTCCCATGTCATCTCCGGCCCCCTACTCTAACTCATACGAAACTATCGATGTGCTCGCATCAGCCGATGTGCTTGAGATACGGCGGGAGGAGAATGGACGTACAGGCTCCAGTAAGAGCGTGGTGGACAAGCGTCTTGAGGCGCTCATGATAGCGGTCGACATCGACGAGGGATAATACGATGGCTCCCGCCTTGACGGGGACTTCTATATCGGCGAGGCACCCAACCTGCCAGAGGTACTCGCCTCTCTTGCAAGCAGCGAGGACTTTGACCCGCGTGGATGGTTTCAACTCCATCTTCTCCCACTCCCTGTTGTGGTCACGGAATAGCATGACGCCGTCGTCTGGGTTCGCCTTCAAACGAATGCTTTGAGGAGGCGTGTTCCGCTAGGTTCGAGCAAAGTCAATGGACCGGTGTTGACTGAGTTTAGTTGGGGAAAGAGATGTGCGTACTTATCTCCCGGAACAACCATACGATGAACGATAGTTCGCGCGACATGGGCGAAGGTAGAAGCTCCAAGCTTGGACTGCGAGATCCGTTGCGTTTAGTGCGCTGGCTGGTCACGTCGGAGTCAGAATCATCAATCTCTATGTACGAAGGTTGCGAAGAGGGGCTGGATAGGCTTGATGACTGAGACAGGCGAGGGTTTGGGCAGTAGGACCTGAAGGTTTCGCGGGCGGCTGGGCCATAGAGGGATGGGTACGGTTGCATCAGAGTGTTCAAGACTCGCGCTTTTCGTGGAGACCCACGCACGGCCACGTCCCTGGTTGCTCTCTACAGCGACGGAATGAGTGATGTCTCCGATACGCATCCTTGAATGGATATGCAACACACCCGACTGCTAGACTCGGACTCTGTCACGGGATCCAGGAGCTGTTGAGCCTGTAGACGACGAGCGAACATATGATCTCGCAGTTCCTGAAGCACCTCTGCATCAAGACGTCGAGAGACGTATATGTATACGGCCCCGCCGCCTAAGTCATCTGCCGGGTGAGCAAGAAGACACTGCTCGACGGTAAGATGCGAGCAACCGCCACCAAGACGTTCATGAGAGCGTACTTCAACAAACCAACGTCCATCATCGGGCGTGCCTGTCAAACATTGGATGTCTTTTCGGAGATAGTGACCAAGTTGTCGGCAACGACGACGGCGATAAACCACAAGGTCATTGTCGATAGGGCCTGCCAGAGACTTGAGTTCCCGGCGATGATCATCCTCGATAGACTTAAGGAGGTTAGCATGGAGGACACCTTTAGAGGGGGACATAGCAGGGGTCATTCCGGATGCCGAATGCTGCGTGGTTTTGTCTCGTCATCTGGAAAAGAGTCCGGGCAACGCCATACTATCGTTCTGAGGCTTCTGTGAACGGTACTGGATTTGCCGGTTCTTCGTGGACCCCATAACATCTGATAGATTCGCCCCATCTGTAACGCACCAGTACATGGACAGTAGAGGCTGCATAGACCGCAGTAGGTGTGAGATCCCTCTAGGACGTTTCATTGCTTGCCAGTAGTAGTCCGATAGAACCTGATGAGGGTCTGGGCTACATTGGGGGTTTCCCGTTGCTACCAAGACTGTTACTAAGTTCCAGAAGAATAGGCCGACCCAAGCACAACAGATCTCAGTCGTGGTGTCGGTATGATGGCAGAGGCATGGAGCGTGATTTGCCATGATGAGATGGCCTGCTAAATGGGTTCGCCTACAGAGCAGAATAAAGCGCAGAAAAATTGACTCAGAAATCACCCGGCGGGCCAAGCGTCCCTCGATCCTCATCTTTCTGTCGGGGACCGACTACTTGAGGTACTTGCGAGACATCCCTGCGCGTCATGTGGTGACCTGCTCACCTTCGAGATGGATGTCTCACACGAAGAGTTCAACAGGGACGAGGCAGAGACACAGAACGTAGACATTCTTATGATATGGGTACATTCTATCACTCAGATCGCGGGCGAAGCGCACAAGGCAATACCAGAGGTCCATCGACGGGAGAGCCGACCTCAAGACCCAAGGGTGCGCGGTGTATCTGACTGATTATTAGGACGCAGTAGTATGATTGAAGATGTCGAAGACATACCGTCCCATAATGTGAGCCAGTAGCTCCAACATGAGTCGATTATTGAGGGGCTGCGTCCTGCCCTTCCGGAGCGGAGGCAAGATAAGCACGTCGCATAGTGTTGTAATATTGGCGGAACTTGCGCTCGATCAGCTGCGAAGTATTCAACAAAGCTATAGTAAAGGACGGTGTCTCGAGGTACGCACGCGGCGAAGACGCTGTCGGTTCTGGACGACAGCATCGCCTTGAAAGTACGGGTGCGTCGCAAATATGATCTGCTGGCGTTCGAACACCCATTCCTCAACAGAGCTGTATCCGAGCGTGAAGTCCGAGTCCACGTTGCGAACCCATGGAGCAAACTCGTGGTGGATAATGTTGGTGATGGCGTTGGACTGCTGATGGTTCAGATGGACGTCTTGGCTGGCCATGGCGAGGATGGAAAGCTGAGAATAACCGCGATAGAACTTGGGTGATAAGAGGCAGCAGCCATGACCACGTGATCAAGCTTGGTCTTTGTAGATTCTGTGGCCGTTAGATGACTGCACAGGGATCGGGAGACAAATCTTGGGTGTATTAGAGCCCGGAGAGGGTACAGCGGTGACTTCCATAATGATGGCTGACCTGCAACGAGATGGGCGCTGTGGGATGATCGCCGTCAAGCAGTTGGAATTGCACCAGTAGAGAGGCCAAAGAACCGCACAGGCTCCCAGGCCCCCAGGCGAGATGGCCATCGACGTTCGCGTTCAAGGTTGGAGGCGCCGTGACTGCGA